TGAAGAAAAACTTTAATATAAGTTTAACGTAACAGCAAATGTACAACATTTCGACAAGGTTTTGTCATCATCAGGTACATCATCAGATGACAAAACCTTGTCGAAACGTTGAACATTTGCTGTTATGTTAAACTTATATTAAAGTTTTTCTTCATTACCCATTCAAACCGTCTCCAGCCATTATTAGTCTCAAAGTGGGTTCCTCGTCACCAAACTCGTGAGATATTATTGGGATTACGGCCAAAAATACCGTTAATAGTAAGTTTACCCAATTGGTGATTTATGTAGTTTAATCACTATTTGTATTTGTTTTCATATGAATTGATTTAATATATTTAGCAGCTGAAATTGATTTATGACATAGTATCAGATTCATTAATGCATAACTTCTGGCCCCCATAGTGGCACAGCGGCATGTCTGTGGACTTACAACGCTAAAAACCTGGTTTCGATACCCATGGTAGGCAGAGCACAGAGAGCCCATTTTGTAGCTTTAGGATTAACTTCAAACAAACAAATAAAAGCATAACTACTGTAATGTTCTAAGATAACTTTTTCAAAGTTCTTAATAATTAATATTCTGTCTTAATTTCGCTGTTCAACAATAATTTTAAAGTTCTTGTACTTTTGCATCAAGAAACCTTAGATGTGCACAAAGCATTAAATTAAGTTTAAGGGTGGTTGTATTACACCTTGCATTTCACGAGTAAGTTGGCAGAACCATTGAAATCATCGCCTTAAGTTATATGTATGTAAGTTAACTATTTCATAAAATCCATCAGTAACTTACTTGGTATACAAAGCAACGTTTTTAAGACCATATTTTGTTTGAAGTGAGGGAATGGTGTCGTTGCAGTGATCGTGGGCTCGGCAGCATATGTCGGTCTCCTGGGCAGGTCCAAGATCTTCGTACCTTTCGGCCACGTTCCCTGCTCCACACCACTTTGTCCCTGGGTAGCCAATGAGCATAGATTACATTCTTTAAAATAGTAGATACATTTGACTTGTTTTTCCATAATTTACGTAACGTATCATATGAATATTGAAGACAGAAATTGAGATCGAATAAACGTATATAATGTTTTGTTCCGTAGGATTTGTGGACGGACGGCTAGCCTAGAAATCTAGATGTCTCGTTGTGAGTGGTGAACGTGTGTCATTATTATATAAGCCACATCTGAAGCTCAAGCTTCTTCCTTACCCAGCTTTCTAGGCCTAAACACAACCAGTTTCAACTCCATCCTTATCGCCCTTACTTTTATGATCAATACAATGCACGTTAATGACTTGTTGATAGAGCTCGCTGAAGGCTGCAGATGAACAGTTGAAATGTCTATTTATCAACCGTTTTCAAGTCATTAAGGTCTCACTTAAAAAATAAATAACTCACGTGACAAATATATTTTTAAGATTTTTTTTTTACTTGCGAATATAATCAGAGAATCCAAATCATTGTTATTTGCATTGGCAGGCTTATTATCTGTATAGAATTTTAAACTTTAATTTTTAATTCAACTTTCTCTGACCTATTGAGGTTACGGTTATTTTGTAAGAGTTTATGGCGATGTAATAAAAAAAACTTTAGAAATGTTTACGTTTTCCTTTCAGTGTAATACGTTAACAAAACTGACAAACAAAAAAAAAAAAAATGCGAGAAGACCTAAACTCACACCTTTATTGATTTATGATTATGAGAAACGTCAAGATAAACAAATATCACTTGAAAGTTTCTTTACCAAGAAGGTAATGCCTTGTTGTTGTTGCTTTCATTAGGGTAAATGAAAAACTTGACTCGCAATCTGAGGGTCGCGGGTTCGAATCCCTGTCCCACCAAACATGCTCGCCCTTTCAGCCGTGCGGGCGTTATAATGTGACAGTCAATCCCACTATTCGTTGGTAAAAGAGTAGCCCAAGATGGGTGATGACGGTGGGTGATGATGACTTCCCTCTAGTCTTACACTGTTGCTCCCCAGTAGCACAGCGGCATGTCTGCGGACTTACGACGCTAGAATCTGGGTTTCGAGACCCGTGGTGGGCAGAGCACAGATAGCCCATTATGTAGCTTTGTGCTTAATTACAAACAAACAAACGTACACTGTTAAATTAGGGACGGCTAGCGCAGATAGACCTCGTGTAGCTTTGTGCTTAATTACAAACAAACAAACGTACACTGTTAAATTAGGGACGGCTAGCGCAGATAGCCCTCGTGTAGCTTTGCGCGAAATTCAAAACAAACAAACAATTATCCTAGCTTCGTCAAGCTGTATGTTTTGTTATAACGGATTCTATCGTTGGCCGGGTTCGTTTCGATTATCCGATAAAAATAAAGCAAAGTCTAGTCCATTTCATGAAAAGAAAACGTTTTACCTCCTGAACTGAAAGTTTTACAAATTCTATGTTCTTTAACCCACAAATAAATATATTCTCGCACTTCTTAAATTTCCTGGATCTTTTTCGTTTGGTGCCTACCAACAGTACAAAAGCGTCAATGCGGAACTCATCGTCAAATGCTTGACTCTTATCTTTGGAAAAAATAGCAAAAAAGATGAAGATTTATTCAAAAAAATATTGTTTAATATCGCAGAATTCGCTAAAAGTATCATAAAATGTTTTATCATTAATTATTTTATTTTATTGTATTACTGGTGTTATTTTCAAAACGATCTGTTGGTGGGCACCAAACGGAAAAGACCTAATTTCATTTTGTGTCTACGGAACAATCCCGAAACTGGCCGATTAACACACTCCCTGTCTTAATAATCGATCGACAAAACTGTAACAGACTCACTAAATAACTTATTACTGACTAATTCTCTTAACAACAACTCTCTGGACTGCCCGATTCTCTAAATAACAAGTATCTCATGTTGTTTTATTATTATTATTATATTCCTACGTTTCTAAAAAAATGTAAATGTCACGTGCACGTCTCGTCAAATTTAGTCATTCAAGAAATTTCTAGTCGTCACATCACTCGGAACTCCTCGGCCGATTACGGTAACAGAATTAGCTGAGGAGTTATGAGTGGGCGTCACACATCATCTTGACTCCATGTCAAAAGTCCCTCTAGCATACAGTAGTAAACGACTAAGATATTAAAACATAGTTCACGATAGTTTAAACTCCAATTTCTATTGACTTATTATCAGGCCGTCTCAGAGGTTCAGAGAGTCCTGGGCTACTTCCAGCTTTTGAGGTCCCAGGCCATAAAAAAATGAGGCACATGAAAACAAAACAGGACCATCATTAGCTCGGAAACAGAGTGAAATGCAATTTGAAGGGAGGCAAGTAAAATCAAGAATTCGCGAAACTTAACAATTGCCAAAAAATTAACTAGTGTCTAATTTTGAGGCTCCCTTTGATCTTGAGGCCCAGGCCAAATGGCCCTCCTGGCCTCACGTCTGATTGGTATTGTTTATTAGTATTAGATCTGGTCGTAGGAATTATTAAAACAATACTGCTCAAAAATGTTTTTCTGAAAAAGGTGATATATGTTTCTCTCACCTGGGTAGATAAGAAAACCATGATTGGTCGCTGCATTTGCTACTCCTTTAGGATATAGATGGAAAGTCCCTGATTCTAGCTTAGTAAGAAGGAGAACATTGCAAGTGTCGATCATTTGGGTCATGTCCCGTGTTTCTACCAGATTAATCAGACTGACTGGGACATCATCTAGGACCTTCTTGATGATGTTGCTAGTAAAATACAAAAGAAAGAGGGAAAGAGAGAGAGAGAAGGATTAAAATGTTGTTTCACTTATACTTTATGCTCTTTAGGTTTAGGTTTTGATTTACTCTATCTTACTTTATTTACAGTTGTTTTCTTGTAATTTCATTTCTTTGTGTTGATTTTCCAGTTTTATCACTGTTTTTTCTTTCTTTCATTTTAATTACCATATCTTATACTCTTTGTAACTCAAAATGATATAATTCTTAATTTTTTTCTACAACGCTAGAAACCAGGTTTCGATACCCGTGGTGAGCAGAGCACATATAGCCCATTGTGTAGTTTTGTCCTTAACTTCCAACAAACAAACTTAGTTTTTTTCTTGATATTTTACAATCTTGAAATTTTTACTCATTACATAAACTTCATGTGAGTGTCATACAGCTCCAAAATTTTTAAAGTTTTACATGAACGCAAGATATATTTATTAATTCAAGTCAGGTCAGTAAACATAACTTATGTTATATGTGTACATATTTCATTTCACCGAAAACACTTACACGTCTCCATAGATATAGCAGTCATCAATGTCTGATTTTCCTTCATTAGATTTTGCCAGTACTGCTTCCACCATGCGATGACCTCCTTTCTCCAAGTAAAAAACCGTATCATAGACAACAGATGTCGCTTTCTTAGGTGTAGCTGTCTTAACCGGAACTTGACTTGGTTTGGCTTCTGCGGACGTTAAGGCCACTGATACTAGTGCTAAACTGAGGATTTGGTGGATCATGGTGAGACTGGCAGATCTATATATAATAGTAAATTTAGTGTCTATGACAAATTCCAAAAATGTTTGTGGCTTATATCGGTAATCCAAAAGTTTTAGGCACACTTGAAAATCCTACCATACCAGGCAACAGACTCTTCTACCGTGTTTTTAATCGCTGAAACTGCCCCCGTTTAAAAAATATTTGAACCCCCCCCCCCTTGAGTTAAATTGTTTAACTGATATCCTGCTTCGGTTGAACATATTAAAATTGCCAATATTAGAGAAACAAGTCTGACTGAAGGATTTATCCACTGTCTAAGTCTTATATAACTCGGCTTCTTCAAACCTGCCCTAATGATTCTTGGAACAAAGCAATAGGTCTTGCAGACGGTGTTCCGTAACAAGCAGTTTATATTTGAAATTCTATAATGATCTCTTCTTACTAGAAATTTGTAATGGGCTTGTTTAAAATGAAGTGTTTAAATAGCGTTAGGTGTTAAATGCTGAAAGCTGGAAAAGCAAAGTAATCAGTAAGCTAATAGTAATGATAAAAAATCACGTTGGACTGTAGATATTTTCCTATGATCCTCTAACTTGGTTCTATACGAAGTTCAAGTTAGGCTTATGTAAAAACATAATTTGAGAATTTGACCGCCACACCTCTTAGTTAAAATCTGCAATTAACAAATTACGAGGAATGAGAGTAAAAAAAAAAAAACATCCTCATGATAGTACGATATTTAATACTAATATTAAGTTTTAATGATGTTTAATTTTGTTGATAATTTAGACTTAATAAACATAGTTTTTAAGTATATGGATTTATGTATTTTTTTGACTTTCTTATGCAAATAACATTATTTGTTGAAATGTTTGTTTTTGGACATGGGTCAATTTTTAAAAACAGGCCTGATGATGAATCAAAAATTTTGTCAACTTCTTAGGACAACAGGCCCATAGTACCTACAATACAAAGGATGAATATTGTTAACACACCTTACTGGTTGTTTTCGTACTTTTCTGAGAAGGCTAAACCAGTACGAATAAAACAATCTAATGAAACAAATGCTTTCTTGATATCGGAACTAAGAAAGAATGAAAAAATAAATCAGCCTCTACGTTTATGAACAACAATTAATGCAAAATAAACTAAATGGGAAACGTACTAAAGGCATTAACAAAAGAAGCCAGTTAAACTGGGGATCATGTGCAGAGTACTACCCAATCATTTAAAAGTGGTGTTGAATTGGGAATTAATTGTGGTGTTATTCAACCATTTAATAAGGTGTTGTTGAGCTAGAGCTTGTGCACATCGAATTATTCAACCATTTAAAGTATTGTTGAGTTGGGAATTAATTGCGGTGTTATTCAACCATTTAATAAAGTGTTGTTGAGCTGGAGCTTGTGCACATCGAATTATTCAACCATTTAAAATATTGTTAAGTTGGGAATTAATTGTGGTGTTATTCAACCATTTAATAAAGTGTTGTTGAGCTGGAGCTTGTGCACATCGAATTATTCAACCATTTAAAGTATTGTTGAGTTGGGAATTAATTGCGGTGTTATTCAACCATTTAATAAAGTGTTGTTGAGCTGGAGCTTGTGCACATCGAATTATTCAACCATTTAAAGTATTGTTGAGTTTGAGATTACGTGTATTGAATTCTTCAACCATTTAAATTCCCACTGAATTGGGATTTATGTGCAGAGAACTACTCACCCATTTAGAGTATTCTGAGTTGGAAATTATGTATAAATAATCATCCAACTAATTAAAGTATTGTTGAGGAGGGGCTCGTGTACAGCGGATTACACAGTTATTTGATATATATATATATACAATGATGGGTTGGGGCTTTTGTATAGTACGTTGCTCACCAATCAAACATTTAAAGAATTAATCATGGAGAGGAGAAACAATTAGAGCAATATGAGAAAAAGAAATAATGTAATGTTAAGATTTTTAAAAATGCGTGACGTTTACCCAAGGTCTGTAATCGTAGTTCCATGAAAATATTTGAAAAATTCGCTAACAGTACCATTAAATATATTTACATTGAACATCTATTTTCTACAGTCAGAGTAAGGTTCTTACCTTTCAGCGGGATGAAATGACGTTTCCTAACTCGGTTGTTATGAGTTGGACAAAGTTTGAAGTTATCCAAGAGTTCTTATATATCAGATATAGAAATAAATCACGTCATCATTGTATCCTTTGTACTGTCAACTTGTCAACAAATTTATGAGTTATTTATTAGTTAAGCAACGAGATACAAGTGTGATGATAGAAGATGTTGTTTAAGGTACTGGAAGATATTTTTATCCCACTACAAATATTTCTATATATATGAAAATTTGTTAGCGGCCCCTTACTTTGAAGTCTATTGGAATGTTTCGTTAAAATCTCTAGTGTCGGAATTCTGAATTAATCAGTTGTTTATTTGTTGACGCTGTTTGTGTTATATGATCTAGGTGACAAGAAGAAGGATTTATTCCTTATATTTTAATTACAAAACATAACTTGATAAAATGCGTAGGTTTTGGTAGTGAGACTTATAAGTATTAAGAAAAAAGACAGTAAATTTGAACATAATCTATGGTTCACTTAACAACATTATCGAGAAACCGAATTAACAACGTTATCGAGAAACCGAATTAACAACGTTATCGAGAAACCGAATTAACAACATTATCGAGAAACCGAATTAACAACATTATCGAGAAACCGAATTAACAACGTTATCGAGAAACCGAATTAACAACATTATCGAGAAACCGAATTAACAACATTATCGAGAAACCGAATTAACAACATTATCGAGAAACCGAATTAACAACATTATCGAGAAACCGAATTAACAACATTATCGAGAAACCGAATTAACAACGTTATCGAGAAACCGAATTAACAACATTATCGAGAAACCGAATTAACAACGTCATCGAGAAACCGAATTCTCTACTAGATTATTTATTTCATGTCCAATAATTCCAATGCAACAATTCAAAGTTACAAATACATTGTTTGGAGATACTTTAGTTATCAAATAATGTTTAATCTTTTTATTTCAACATCGTTAACAACAGAAATTCTGTAGATGTTTATCACAAATTGAAGTTACTTTGGTAACAGGATAATGAGGATATTAAACCAAGAAAAATAAGGAAATTACACCAGGGATAATAAGGATAGTACATAAAGGAAATGGCCAGATGGCTAGGGCGCTCGACTCGTAATCTGAGGGTCGCGGGTTTGAATCCCTGTCCCACCAAACATGCTCGTCCTTTCAGCCGTGAGGGCGTTATAATGTGACGGTCAATCCCACTATTCGTTGGTAAAAGAGTAGCCCAAGAGTTGGTGGTGATGACTAGCTGCCTTCCCTCTAGTCTTACACTGCTAAATTAGGGACGGCTAGCGCAGATAGCCCTCGTATAGCTTTGCGCGAAATTCAAAAACAAAAACAAAACAAACACAAAGGAAAATAAAGATATTAAGGAAATTACACAAACGAAAATAAAGATATTAAATCAAGGATAATAAGGATATTAAACCTAGAAAAATAAAGAATTAAACTGTGGCGGATTGCTACAAGTTCTTCAAATACCTATAGAATGATAGGTTTCTTTTTTGTGAG